TCGAAAAGACACTACGATGTACACATTTTACTTGAGATGAAATTTTAAATGCGTATGATCAAATCACCACATCCCCGCATGGCTCGTTAAGCAAACACCCTCCAGTATCTATGCATATTTGGTGACAATATATTTCACTGTCTTCCGCATTTTGAATGGGACTTTGTTTTAAGATGCACGTGAACCTCAGTGAGTGAGTGATTGAGTTGGGTTTTACGCCGCTTTTAGCAATATTTCAGCAACATCACGACGTGGGACAACCAGAAATGGTCTTCAGACATTGTACCCGTGTGGGCAATACTCGACCAGACAATCCTCGAGGTTGGGATACGATGATTTGAAATCAACCAAGGCGTTGGTGCCTGACCACCCAATACATCAAATAGCTTCCACCCACAAGTATATATGTAGGTTGCTGGGCAACAATATTCTTACTCGGGAACCCAACGGGTTTTTGTGACTGGATTAATTTAATGTAATGTTTATGGGTTTTTTATTTCAAGACACAACTTTGTCATAGTTTATAGAAACTATTTGGCACGAAACTAATATATTTGTAATTTGGTTAAATGTATGGAAAACACGGTATCCTTTCATGAAGTAACTCCAGGTCTTCCTTTCGATTTCTCCCCAACGGCAGTACTTTCAACTAACTCACCATTGATTGAACTTCAGATCGTTAATGTATGTCTCAGTTCATCATCTTTTGTATAGGAAACTAAATACTAAACAGGAACTAATGAAATTATACCTAATAAATAGAGAACAATATATATTGAACAGGAATTAATGTGAGACTAGTACATCTGATAAAAAATATCGAAAAATAGTGAGTGCACAGGAATTAATGTAAGTATACCGTATAAATTGATACAAAGACGTTACAGGAACGACGGTACTTCATGAACAGAGGGAACTTTATCGAAAATAGGAATTAATATACCTAATACTTAGTGGAAAATATTAGTAAACAGAAATGAAAGAAAATACACTTAATATGTTAAACAAATAAATAAAAAACAAAAATTGAGGTAAATATACCTAATAAATATAGAAAAATACTATTAATCAAGATTTAATGATGAGTCTATACGTACCTGACAATTCACTCTCGAGTTCGTGTCTTACAATAAGCAGGAAAGGAATAAAGCCTCACTCTTCCTTCTTGTATCTTCTTCAGTATTGACAGACACGGGGTGAGAGAGCATCCTTCTTTTTGTTCTCGCAGGGGGCGGTAGACAGTTTATAAATAAACGGTAAATCAATTTTTAATCAATCACACAATGATTATGAAACGTTGTCAACCAGACGCAAACAGACACATTTCTGGATGATATAACCTTTGCGTCCGAAGAAATGAACATGTCTTTTGTCTCCATAATTAAAAAAAATTTACCTGTTAACGTAACGGTGTTAGGTTGCCACAAACACGAATATGTTTGGTTGTGACGTCATTCTATGGTTTTTATTGTTGTTTCCGTTTCGTGGGGGATGGGGGTGGGGTCAGGATCATCCGGTTGTGCTTTACGTCTCTGTTGCATGTGCACAAAGCTCGATGGCAAGGTGATCTTAACAATGCATGGTACATAGCTCTACCCACTCAACCACGGGGACAGTCAACGTGAGTGAGTGAGTTTAGTTTTACGCCGCACTCAACACTATTTCCAGTTATATGGCGGCGGTCTATATATAATCGAGTCTGGACCAGGCAATTCAGTGATCATCAGCATTAATCTACGCAATAGGGTTAGTATCAGAACAATGTCACTGTCTTAGCACTCACGATCCCCTGATGCGTCACCCAATGAAATGTAGAGACGTCATCCGAATCCTCCAACAATGCTGCAGGAATTCCGCCAAACCCTTCTTCGGATATAAAAGACGTCCATGATGATTTTTTTTTTCTTGCTGCTTTTGACGTGTTGTTGTGAGTGAGTTTAATTTTACGCCGCTTTTAGCAATGTTCCAACAATATCACCACTGGGGACACCAGAAATGGGATTCACATGTTGTATCTATGTGGAGAATCGAACTCCAGGCCGCGGCGTGACTATTTGACGAGCGAACGCTTTAACCACTTGGCTACCCCACCGCCCCCTTGATGGAAATGAGGGACATAAGTGAGGTGAAATAGGGTTTTACGTCGTGCTTGAGAATATTTCGCTCATATGACGACGTGCATGCGTGTGTATGTGTATGTGCGGCTGCTTGTACTAGCCCAAACTTAAGCTGGTTTTAGAGTGCTAGCCCACTGAGATACCATGCCGCAGTGAAGCATGAATACCCCACTCAGACTCATTATACTGACTCCGAGCCATTAATGTACCAATTAATGCCGAGCGCCAGGCAGGGACCAACAAGTACCATATTTTAACGTCTTTTGGTATGACGCGGTCCGGGAATCGAACCCGCGACCTTCCGCTCTCCGGGCGGACGCTCTAACCACTACACCAGGGAGGCGGTTGAGGGACGAGGAGGGTAAAGATTAATAAATTCATCTTCGTTTTAACATGGTGAATACCTAACATAGTACCCTTATGTAAATGCTCATCACATACAATCCTAGTTTGTTTGTTTGTTTGCTGTTTACCACCACACTCAGCAATATTTCAGCTATATGACATCAGTGTGTAAATAATCGCGTCTGGACCAGATAATCCTGTGATTGACTTAACATGAATACTCACACACAAAAATCCACAACCTTCTTAGGTCTTTGGTATGCTTGATAGGGATTGTACAACCACCCTTCTTCTTTCACTATACCACACAGCCCATCCAGTCTGGGTGAAAATCAGGGTTAGAATTGATCTTCAGTAACCCATACTTGTCGTAAGAGGCGACTAAGGGGATCGGGTGGTCAGGCTCGCTGGCTTGGTTGACACATGTCATCGTATCAGAATTGCGTGGATTGATGCTCATGTTGTTGATCACTGGATTGTCTGGTCCCGACACGATAATTTACAGACTGCCGCCATATAGCTGGAATATTGCTGAGTGCAGCGTCAAACTAAACTCACTCACTCACTCTTTGCAAAAAGATGCTCTTTTCACTGTACCATACAGCCCAGCTAGTCTGGGTGAAAATAAGGGTCAGAATTGATTTTCAGCAACCCATGCTTGTCGTAAGAGGCCATGTGTAACTTGGTTGACACATGTCATCGTATCCCAACTGTGTAGATCCATGCTCATGCTGTTGATCACTGGATTGTCTGGCCCAGACTCGATTATTTACAGACCCACGCCCTATAGCTGGAATATTGCTAAGTGCGGGGTAAAACTTAACTCACTCACTCACTCACTCACTGGGAGAATAGAAAGAAGCAAACACATACTGAAAATGATAACTTGAATTTATTTCAAATTGATGATATTCAGATATTCAACTGAATTATCTCTTCTGGAGTTTTTCGGAATTGATAACACACAAGTAGGTTAAGAACACCTGATAGATCAAAACAGTCAAAAATATATATGAATGATGATGATATTAAACAGCAGTGTAGATAATAGCTTCAGTAAATGGGGAAGTATTTGAATAGCCATAAAAGCTAATCAATCTGGAAATAACAGATATAAAAGAAATAACACAATTTTTAAATTGTTTGCATGGATAGCCTAGGATGAGGTAGCACAGATGAGTTTTGACCACTTAAAACATTTTAAAGGTAAGTTAGAGAAAACTATTTATTAACATTTCTAACCATTTTGAACTTGTAACATTATCAGACATATAGGCATAGCATAAATGAAACAAAAAACATAAACATAAAACCAAATAAGAATCTGTTACTACAAATAAAGTATAGAGGTGATCCAGCTTTTTTCCTAAAGAAAAGGGTCCCCTTAAATTAAATCCACCAAAAATGTTTCCTAAAACTGATTTTTGTTTCGTAAAACTGATTTTATTTTCTAAGCTGATAGACCAATTCCTTTTATAATTCAGGTTCCCCACTGCAACGAATGATGGATAAACTTGGAGACTCTTCCAACACATTTGAAAACTCAAAACATGTAAAATCATTTCCCCAAAATAAATTTGTCATATTATCTATATTTTGTTGTGTTACATTATCCATAGTGTATGTGCATGAAGCTATGAAGATTATGTGACAAATATTATAAAACAATATAAGCAGCACTAGTTAATGCATAGGGCAATACTGAATAGTATTAGCAAGAACAGATCTTCAAAACACAAAAAGGTCATTAATTCCATTCAAAGCTAGTTGACAAAAAACAGCAACTCTTCATAGACAAACAATTCAGATCCTGGTTTCTCAGTACCACTACATCACAAAGTGATTAAACAGAAATGTCCACTGTAGGCAATAAAAATACTGGTACAACCTCTCATTGAAACTAAAAAATAGACATTTCAAAACAGACAAGTGTTTGCCACTGATATGGCAATGTCCCCAGCCGCTAAAGAATGGAATATCTATATTTACCACTTTTAATTTTTTGGTCACATACAAGATGCCTGAAATGACTGGTGTCTGCATATCACCCAATGTAGGCTGTCAACATACTTGAAAACATTGGGTGCAATGTTTTATGAGATATATCACGCTTAAATAAGTTTGAAAAGCGGTCAAAGTGTCGTGGTGAACTTGATGGTAAGGTCAAGGTCACCCAAATCGACTGATGTCTGGGTAATCCCCCAATGTAGGCTGTCAACAAATTTGAAGACATTGGGTACAACAGTTCATGAGATATCGCGTTAAAAATAATCGGGACGTACGTACGGACGCCGCTGAATACATAGTCCCCCCGTTCCGCATTGCGGCAGGGGACAAAAATAACTTTCTATACTGTTTGTAAAGGTTGGAGATTCAAATTAGCGATGGATTTATCAAAGAAGTGTCATTCCCCTAAAAGTCATAAAAGAGGTAAGATAAATTTTTTCATTTTTTCATTTTTTTTTTGCATGACTAGATGCAAACAAAAAGTGTCAAACTTTGAAAATGAGTCCCAAAAATTATTTTTTTCATATTATGTTGTTTCTTCAAATTTTGAAAAATTTGAGACAGATTTATGTGTGAAAACACAGAGAAAAATTGTTCTGACCTTAAGAGGAAACATACATCAACAAGAAAACAATATGATATAAGTCATACATAAAGCAACATCCGTAACTTACAATATGGCACAACATGTTGGGGAAAAACAGCGGAAAAGAGTGGAGAGACACAGATGGATTTCAAGATTTGAGCTTCCATTCATTCCACAGGACAGAATTTATTGTTCAAATATAGAAAAGTCATTTTTACAGTATATATTCATTTTCAATATTCACAAGAAAACTTTGCAAAACACAAATCCATACAGGCATGTTTTATTGTGTCATTTGGCAGCAAGACTCTTTTTTAAGAAATGATGGAAGAAATAACCCAAGACCTGAGAGCGAACATTGCTAATACCACATCATTAAGATGATACCCAACAGGAGGTTATGTTTGGTGTAAAAACACATTTAGACAAGAGTGAGTGAAATTTTACGCCACTATTAGCAATATTTCAGCAATATCACCGTGGGGGACACCAGAAATGAGCTCCACACATTGTACCCATGTGGGGAATCAAACCTGGGTCTTTGGCATGACGAGTGAACATTTTAACCACTAGGCTACCCCACCAGCCCTGGGCTAACTAGTTGTAGTCCCTTTATGTATCCTATTACATACCACGGAACTCAACACACCATACCGGTATTCTCCAGCAAAAAGACTTCAAAATATTTTACCCTGCTAAAAATTACATAAAAGTTGGCTTGTAATTACAACATTAAAAAACAAAACAGCACTTTGTTTCAAAAAGAAAAGAATTATTACCCCAAATTAAACATTTCTCCATGTAACAGATATATGAGTGACATGCAATGAGTGAAAGTGGCTCCTTAAATGGATGAGGATGAGGATATTCTATCAACAAACAAAGAAAATACACTTTTCTAACAATGTTGTCCTACTGATATGTGCAGCTGATATGCAGGCTCCTATCACAAAACAGTCCTATCTGTCTCAACTGGAATGACAGCAAGTTTCTTAAAACTGACGAAAAAATCAAATGTCTATGTTAATTAGTCAAATCTAGTTTAAAAAATAGAATTCACCAAGACACTTAAACATCATTCTCCTAATACCAACACCTCTTATCACCCACCAAACCATGCTATTAACACTCAATTTAACACTGCATTGACACTTCAGAAAAACTCCAAACACTTGAATACTGACGCTATCCACAGACACTCTGCAATTTCACAGTAGACAGCTCTGCTTGAGAATTAGAGACATACGCTAAATACTGTTTGATGTAATAATAACTACCGGTATATTATTTTTCGAAATAGTCATAAATTCAACTTATACCCTATTGTAAATGTGAATGCATTAATTACAAAAGTGATGTCTGAAAATTTCTGCAATTGATCACTTACTGACATTATTTAAGAGAATTTCATTTATTGATATCCTTCAAGCTGGTAACATATTTTAATATACTTATAGCAGTTAGGCATATTCAGTTATATTCATATTTTCTGTAAAGCCAATGAAAATATAAACACCATAACCAAACATGAAACGTTTACTTGCCTGCACCGTCTACACAACCAGGCCCCATTGTGCAAAGTTATCTTAGCGCAAATCTGATCATAGTGAGTGAGTGAGTGAGTTTAGTTTTACGCCACTTTTAGCAATATTCCAGCAAGATCATGACAGGGGACACCAGAAATGGGCTTCACACATTGTACCCATGTGGGGAATCGAACCCGGGTCTTCAGTGTGACGAGCGAATGCTTTAACCACTAGGCTACCCCACAGCCCCCTTATATTATATTATATAAAGGTGATCATCACTCCCAAACATTAACATAGGCTTGTTATAGTCATTGCGCTAAGATTGCTGTGTGGAACGGGGTCCAGCATCCTAAAAGCAGAGGCTGAGTCAACTGTGTGCAATTTGTATTGAATAATATGAAGGAATTGATAATCAACTTAAAATTGACCTGGAAACTGTTTAGTTGAATGACTGGACTGTTCTCTTGATGATATCAATACATTCATATATCTGAGGTTCAGTGATTGTCAATGGCGGGGAGAAGCGGATGATGTCACCATGTGTAGGCTTGGCAAGGAGGCCATTATCACGAAGCTTCACGCAGACATTCCAGGCGTCCCATTCTGGAAGAAAAAATCCACAAAACTGAAAAAAACATTCCTTTTTTTTAAAGAATTAAAATTGATTTGTCTAGGGCTAGCTATTAAATAGACCGTTGAGATCATTACCGGTAATCATTACCTCAATATTAACCAACTGTCTACATTTTGGAGAATATTTTTTCTCTCTAAATCCAAGTTTCAGAGGTGAGGTGAAATGGGGTTTAATGTCATACTTAAGAATATGTCGCTCATATGATGATGTGCACGCATGTGTATGTGTGGATGCTTGTACTAGCCCAGACTTAAGATGGTTCTAGCTCACTGAGATACCATGCCACAGATAAGCATGAATACGCCACTCATACACATTATACTGACTCCGACCAGTACTTGTACCTATTAATGCCGAGCACCAGGCAGGGACCAACAAGTACCATACTTTAACATCTTTTGGTATGACGTGGCTGGGGATCAAACCCCCGACTTTCAGCGCTGCAAGTGGACGCTCTAACCACTACACCACGGAGGTGTTCCAAGTTTCAGAAACCAAGGCTATAACTCTAGATAAACTACTTCTATGTGAAACTGAGCAGTAGAAAGTGACTTACTCTTGTTGATAACGATTGCATTCAGTAGACCCTTCCCTCTCACGATGCTGACGACATCTTTAGGCAGTGTGCTCAGCTCCGATCTCAGGATTTTCCCCAGCTTCTCGGCATTGTCAGCCAGCTTCTCCTCCTCCAGAACCTGCCGATTGAATTAGAGTCATCATCATCATCATCATCATCATCATCATCATCATCATCATCACCTACCACCATCTGCACCATTATCACCCTCCCATCACCATCTACCACCAACATCACCATCCTACCATTATCTACCTAACGTCATCTACCAAAAGTCATGATCCAACCATACCCCTACCATCATCACCTAACAATTATAACCCTACCATCATCACCTAACAATTATAACCCTACCATCATCACCTAACAATTATAACCCTACCATCATCATCTAACAATTATAACCCTACCATCATCACCTAACAATTATACCCCTACCATCATCACCTAACAATTATACCCCTACCATCATCACCAAACAATTATAACCCTACCATCATCACCTAACAATTATGTAATTTTTAGAGTAAAATTGATATTTTATACTTATCCTGACTCATGCTTTTTTGCTTGTCTTCTTCTTCTTGTGAACATAGTGGAACACTTGTATCTCCTTAATTGAAGCTCGCTTCAATGTAAAATCACTAATTGGTACTCACCACCAGTCGCCTCCCTTTGCCCTTTTGGCGGGAACAGGTGTCGCCACCCTCTGGCCTCATGCTTCACTCTCTCCTGATTTTGCGAGCCCAACACTTGAATTTACAGGGAAATCCAAAGTGTTATGTGGGGAGGATGGGAGGGCTTACCTCATGAGTCAGGATAAGTATAAAATATCAATTTTACTCTAAAAATTACATATTTTTCCTTATCCTGACTCATGCTTTTTTGCTTATAGAATCCGACGGAACCGGAGGTGGGAAAACAATACTTTGGATTTATAATAAGTGATTTGAATAGATATAACTGTAATAACCCCTTACGGGAACTTCATGAAGGCATAGACTTAGGATGTTTCCTCTATTATAAACCATAGGTTATATAATGCCATAACTGGGGTATTACATTAATAATATACTGAGATATATTACATAGATATAAATAATGAAATATAAAAGCGACTCTGATAGAGACGCTGTACAACTGAATATAATATCAGTATAAGCTTAAGGCTGAATAACTTAAGCTAAGTATATACATAGGCCTAGAACTCCGTAGAGTTATAGCTAGATAATGTATGTATACCATACATAATAATCTCGTGAGGGTAATTTTTAACGCCTCCGAGGGACTGTCAGCTGCTGAGCGAGGACCAAGGGACCGAAATGGTGAATGCCAGATACGTCCTCGGTGGTGATATCTCTCAGATAGTGATTAGCAAACACCATGTTAGATTTCCAAAAGCATCCTTCCATAATTGTGTTCAATGAGCAGTTACCGTGTAGGGCGAGAGTGGAAGCCAATGCCCTGATCTCATGGAGATTTGATGCTGTTGGAGGGTCCAAGCCTGCTGCCTTGTAGGCACGCAGTATGACAGTCCTTATCCATATAGATATGGTGGTACGAGAGACTTCTGTCTGAGTTGTTGCTGACAAGGGGATGAATAATCGTTTGAGAAATCTTCGCCTTGTTTTGGAACGTCGTAAATAGATTCTGAGAGCTCTGACTGGGCACAGCGATAAGTCTAGTGTATCTTGAGATCCGAGAATCGAAGATAGAGCCGGGAACGTGGAATAACCTGTCTGGTTGACCTGGTAGTTGATTTTTGGCGATGAAATCCCATCTTAATCCCAGGTGCGCTGTGTTTTGATTGTCATCAAACTGTATCCTCTCATAATCTAGAGCGTGAATTTCGGACATTCTGGCTGCCGTGGCTAGCAATAACAGGAAAAGTGTTTTCTGTGAGAGAAATTCAAAGGTTGTCGATTCCAATGGTTCATAAGCCTCACTTGTGAGGTGTTGTAGCACTACATTCAGATCCCAAGCTGGGGCGTGGAACTTCCGCTTTTGGTCCTCCAATCGGAAAGCACGTAGTAAGGCCAGTAACTCTGGCGACTTAGTCAATTTGACACCCGTTCTCATCGTAAGCACAGAACTAAGCGCGGCAAGATATGTTGATAATGTCGAGCCTTTTAAATGTTTGTTTTGACGAAGGTAACACAAATAGTCTGCCACTTGAGGATGTGTAGCATCTCTCGCTGTAAATCCCTTATTTGCTGCATAATTTTCGAAACTGTGCCACTTGTCGTCGTACAAGTTTCGCGTAGAATACCGTAAGGCAAGCGTGACCGCTTTTGCCGCCCTGGCAGAATATCCTCTCTTGTTTAAACACATTTTAATACAGTCCATACGTGAAGTTGGAATATTTCTGGGCTTCCGTGCACCTGTTTGGTGTGTGGATGTATTAACAGATTTGAGCGCTTGGGTAGCTCTAGTGCCGGTTGACAGATTTCTTGAATTAGAATGGGAAACCACGTTCTGGCCTGCCAGTAGGGCGCGACCAAAGTGAGTTGTAGGCTCTGTGTTTGTCTGATTTTCTGTAACACTTGAGGCATTATTACTGGCGGCGGAAACGCGTACGCATTTGAGGCCTTCCCAGGATATGCTTAGAGCGTCTGTTGCCCATGCTTGTGGTTCTGGGACTGGTGACACAAATGTGGGTAGCTGATTGTTGAATCATGTGGCGAATAGATCTACTAGCGGCGTTCCTATTTGCTTGGTTATCTGTGCAAATATCTCTGTATTGAGCATCCATTCTGTCGGTGACGGTTGATGTGGCCGAGAGAGTGCGTCTGCTAGTACATTTCTGGCTCCGGGAATGTGACATGCTCTGACCTGTAGATTTAGATCGTGTATTAGATCGAACAGTTGAAAGCTTAGGTTCAAAAGGTTCGGTGATCTCGTTGAGCCTTGTTTGTTCACATAGAACGCCACTGCCATGTTGTCGGTATGGATCATTAGGTGCGCATTTTGTAGAATCGTGCTCCAATGCAGTATGGCGTTGATTACAGCTTTCATCTCTAACATGTTTATATGGAGCTTGCTTTCTTGCTGATTCCATAACCCTGATGCCGTCCGGTTGGCGAGATGAGCTCCCCAACCTTGGAGTGACGCGTCTACATATAGATGGGTTTTGAATTCCTGCTCTGCTAAACAAATCCCTTCGCAGACATTCGATTTCTTTGTCCACCATAGTAGATGAGGTCTGAGACGTTTCGGTAGACTGAATGGTTGTAGGTCGTCGAGATGTGCATTGATGAAGACCTGTAAGGGACGTAACTGTAATCTGCCTCTGACTGTCATGTCTTGGGCTGATGTGAGGAGACCTAGTAGGCTCTGCCACTTTTGGAGTGGTAACGGAGAGAGTAGAGCTGGTGGAATGGTCTGTTGGATCTTGGTCCAACGGTCTTCTGGTACGACGATACGGTTGAGATTCGTGATAAATCGAATGCCTAGGAACTGCAGGTCTTGCGATGGTACTAGGTCCGACTTGAGTAAGTTTACTAACCATCCTAGCTGTGTTAGTAGCTTTATGATGTAGTTTAACTGTAGTTTGAGACGCTGTGGATCTTGATCTACTTGTATCCCGTCGTCGAGGTAAAATGCACTGCGTAGCCCTTGACGATGTAAATAGGCGATAATCGGTTTCGTTATCCTCGTGAATAGCCAGGGGGCTGATGATATTCCGAATGGGAGTACTTTCCACTGGTAATGTAGCCCGTCTAGTGTAAACCGTAGGTATTTCCTGGATTCGGGATGTATGGGGATGTGCAGATATGCATCCTGTAGATCTTTACTGCCCATGTAGTCCATGGGGCGAATCAACTGCCGTAACTGAGGTAGATGTATCATACGAAACTTCGGTGGTTTGCGTAGATAATTCTTGTTGAAGAAACTCATGTTGTAGATGAGTCTGTATTTCTCCTTGGAGTTTTTCTTGGGTACTAGGAAAACTGGGGAGTAGAAACCTGGTTCGCTGTTTCTTTGATCTATTACTTCTATGGCCTGCTTGGTTAGGAGTGATGTAACAGCCTCTCTTAACTTCGGTAGTTGATGTGCCTGTAAGTTGAACTTGTGAGGGTTGACTGTCAGCGGAGGCTTGGCCTGTAGCGGGATAAGGAATCCGTGTTGAAGAATGTTGGAGACATAAGGGTCTTGTAACATTCCCCAGTTTTCCCAGTGTAGTTGAAGGCGTCCACCCACTTGTGATGGTTGTACTGGAACGGTTGGGGGTGGAAGACTCCAGTCGTTCCGAACCTGTCTTTCAACGTTTATAGTTGCGGGAACCTCTGGGTGTCCTGCCTCTTCCTGAGCCTCCTCTATAGTTGCCATATGGGCGACGAAAAGAATCTTTTCCCCTGGAGCTGGCTATCTTCCTGTCTCTTGCTCTCTGTAGACCCGTGAATTTAGATCTCCCTGAGTATCTTTGTGAAGTCTGTCGGATGACACTGGCTAGTGTATCCATCGATTTAATCATCAGGACTTCTCTGGAATCCTTAGTGACTTCCTTGGAGACTCTGTCTATTCCTCCGTCAAAGATGGATGGGGAAGACCACGGGGCTGTATATAGTGGAGCTGTAAAGTTCTCACCCCAGCTGCAGGAAGCGAGGAGGCCTTGACGACGAGCTAAGGTCAGTGCTGCTGAGACAGATGTGAGATGATCCGTTAGGAACTGTTGGTCCTTCTTTTGCATAAGTAAGGCCGAGTAAATCATTCTATCATCTTCAGAGGTCGTGTTACGAAATCTCGTGATAAGTGTCTCATTGATCGTTCTAGATCTATTTAGGCCAAAGAACATACGTCTCGTCATGGTTTCTATCTGAACCAATTTGAGATCGTCAATCTTGTAGTTCTTGTTCTTGACATCGCTGATCAGCTTGTAGTTTTCATCGATGTCTTGAGCCTTGAAGAAGGGGTCCATGTTATGCGTGGAGAACTTCTTGGCGTGAAAGTTTGGCAGATGTGGTGTCTGAACTTTCGTGGCTTTGTGGAAAGCTGTGTCTAGATTCTGTGGTACCGCAGCAATCGGGTCGATTGGGGTAGTAGCGTGACAGCATCTGCATCGTCTTCTTTCATCAGGTATGTCTGCGCCGGATTACCACTCTTGGAAGGTGATGAGAGATCTAGGTTGTTTACCATCCAATATCTGATCTCTGCATCTGAGAAAATAATTCCTCCATCATCTTCTATTCCAGCATCATTGATGAGAGGTTGGTGCTCTTCTGATGTTGGACTGTGTGGTTCTATCTCTATATCGGGTGACGCTTGTGGAGACCTGGTTGTAGGCTTGTGTGCAGACCTGTGTGGTGATCGACGTGGTGATGTACGCGGAGATCGGCGTGGTGAACGGTGAGGAGATCGTCTTGGTGATCTACGTCTGTGGGTTGACCTTCTCGGAGACCTGTGAGGGGAACGTTGATAGCTTCGCGAAGCTCTTGTGTAGTCCCTTGATGACTTTCTAGATGATGACGATCTGGGTTCAGGTGTCCTTCGCGAATGCCTTCGCGAAGCTTCCTCTGCGTCCGGTCCTGGGGAACGGTGATATGACCTTCGCGAAGGCTTCCGTGAGGTCTGGTGGTCTGAGTCCGTATCTGAGGTTGACGCCGAAGAAGGTGATGATCTCTCCCGCCTTCGCGAAGGCTGTACATCTGGGTCCTTCGTCGAGGTGGTCTGTGACTTCCTTCGCGAAGGTGGCTTCGTCGTGGCTGCTACGTTGACGGGGGGTGCCTCTGGGGTGCTGTCTACGTTGGAGCCTTCGCGAAGGCTCGGACCCTGGGTTGGCTGCTTCTCCAGTCTGTAGTGGCCCTCCATCATGATCATGATTTGCCGCATCAGATCTTCTGGGATGGTCTGCGACGAAGTAGACGGTGCCCTCTCTGCGATGTTAACGGTGGGGCCCTCAGGGATCTCGTCTGACATCAGTGTAGAGGCATCAGGCTGCATGGTGATCTCTGCTGACGTCACTGTAGCTGTCACCGGTCTCTTCTTGTGCCGTATGTCGGGGATGATGATCGGCTGGTCATCGTAGAGGCCCAATTCTGCGGCTGGAACGATCTCGGCTGAGAAAGTTCTTGACGACTTCGTAGATTTCCCTTTGGAGGATGACGCTGCCCTGGGGGTACGAAGTCTGCGTTGAGAAGACGTTGAGGCCCTCTTGGACTTTATCTGCGATGACGGGATGTCTGGGGAGGCCGGTCGCTTCTTAGAGGTGACGGACTGCATCCCACGTCCCTCTTCCGATGGGGTCTCTAGCAGAACACCAGACGGGAGGGGGTCGATCGACAGCAGCTGACTGGATGGGAATTCCGATGTATCGGCCATGTCTAAACCTTGTTTGCGTGATCTATCTGCAGCACGTCTCAAGACGCAAAGATGGTATTTATTAAAGGCAGAATTAGTTAAATTAATGCAGTAACTGCAACGTGAATCAAACGCACAAGGCGTAGAACAACTAGGGCATACTACATGCGGATCGGCAGCGGAAAAACGTAATCTACAAATAGTACAGATTTTCATCAACGTAATACTAGCTGAACAATCACGAACTCACGTGAATAAACAGTAGAAATACGATTAATTATCAATACAAATTAATGAAGGATACTAGCTATACCTTTATAGTAAACTATAAGAGGTAACTAACTAAGGAAAATCAAAGGATATAGTGTGTAAGGAGACACAGGCGCTCTCACATCCTGCTCACTGGGCGAAGAAGGAGAGAGTGAAGCATGAGGCCAGAGGGTGGCGACACCTGTTCCCGCCAAAAGGGCAAAGGGAGGCAACTGGTGGTGAGTACCAATTAGTGATTTTACATTGAAGGGAGCTTCAATTAAGGAGATACAAGTGTTCCACTATGTTCGCAAGAAGAAGAAGACAAGCAAAAAAGCATGAGTCAGGATAAGGAAAAATATAACCCTACCATCACCACCTAACAATTATAACCCTACCATCATCACCTAACAATTATAACCCTACCATCATCACCTAACAATTATAACCCTACCATCATCACCTAACAATTATAACCCTACCATCATCACCTAACAATTATAACCCTAACATCATCACCTAACAATTATAACCCTAACATCATCACATGAAGAGAGCAAGGGACTAACACACCAATTTTCTTGATTTACTTGTAGTTTGGTCACAATAAAATGGATGTGAGAAGGGGACCAGGGGGTCACTTGTAAGGCTTTGAACTTATTGAATCAGTGAATCTACAGTTCTGCACCGGAACCAGGTGGAAGGTGGAACTGAATTACACATTAGGTAACCATGGTAAATAAAGTTACACATATACCTCTAATGCTGCAATTGCAACTTTACACGCAAGGGGGTTGCCGCCAAATGTGGAGCCATGCTCCCCTGGTTTGATCGTCAGCATCACCTCATCATCGGCAAGGATAGCAGATACCTACAACAAACAAAAGCATGTGACTGAGTGAGTACCGTTTTACGCTGCTTTTAGCAATATTCCAGCAATATCAGGGGTGGGACACCAGAAAAGGGCTTCACACATTGTACCCATGTGGGGACTCGAACCTGGGTCCTTGGTGTGACAAGTGAACACTGTAACTACTAGGCTACCCCACCGCCCCAGAAAACCATACACAACATAGAGAAACAGCAAGAAGGCACTGTAGTCGCTTGTCACAAGTATTCACAGCCAAGTTTAATTTCAGGTGAGCTAAAAGTAATGCCACATTTGAATGTATTTTCGAAAAATAATTTATACTTTTGGCTTGATCACATACGATCTTACCGGTAAAACACCTCCTGACAGAGCCTTACCAAGGATGACAATATCAGGGCGGACATTCTCGTGGTCTACGGCGAGACGCCTGAAACACAGACATGTTGACAGTGTCAGAAGTTAATTAGCACTCTGACTGCTGTGTAGGCACTATTTATAACCAAAAACTATACACAGCCTTGTTCCTGTCAGAGTCCATCACAATTGCACAGATGACACTTACTGGTTATTTTGCAATAAGTGCCACAGCCTATCGTTCTATGGTTCAACTCTATAAATACTCCTAGTTTGGGAGGACACCATTAAGGACTGCATAAATTATACCAATGTTTGTTTGTTTGTTTGTTTGTTGCTTTATGCGGACTCAGGAATATTCAGTCTGTAAATAATCAAGTCTGGACCAGACGATCCAGTGATCAACAGCATAAGCATCGATTGGGACACAATTGGGATACGATGACATGTGTTAACCAAGTCAGCGAGCCTGGTCACCAATCCCAATAGTTGCCTCTTACAACAAGCATGGGTGACTGAAGACAAAGTTTTAACCCGATCTCCATGTGAATATCAATCCCTTTATTCTCTGCTCCAGACTTAACTATTTACAGGCCACTGTCATATATAGCTGCAGGCAAAACAACAAAAACACAAAGAAAAATGCTGTATAAGAGACAAGTTCATTGTCCTTACTTTCCAGTCCTGGCCAGTCCGGTCTGCACCTCATCAGCTATCCACAGCACGTTGTACTTGGTACACAGTTCCCGCACCTTCCTCAGGTACCCCTCCTGGGGCACGACCACACCCGCCTCACCCTGAATGGGCTCCATCATGAAGGCACACACGTTGGGGTCCTGCAGCTCTTTCTGGGGGAAAGTCACAATTGATGTTTGTTAGGATTCAACTGTTATGGCTAATTTTGTTTTATTTTTAATATATTTCAGCTATCTGATGACAGTCTGAAAAAGTGTGAGTGAGTTCAGTTTTATGCTGCTCTTAGCAATATTCCAACAATATCATGGCGGGGAAAACCAGAAATGGACTTCACACATTGTACCCATGTGGGGAATATCGAACCCGGGTCTTCAGTGTGACGAGCAAACGCGTTAACCACTAGGCTACCCTACCACCCCCTGAAAAAGTGTGAAAGAGAGAATCCAGTGATTGGCATGATGACCATCCATTAGACAAGCAGCAACTGTCAGATAAACATGTTGGACAAACAATCCCTCAATCTGCATAGCCCTGCAAGACACTTTTGATTATAAATATACAGTCAAACACTGCACTATTGAAGTTGAAAGGACCTGAAAACATTAAAACATGTTAAGTTGTCCAAGGTTTGACACAAACACAAAACAATGACTAAATAAGAAAAATACAGGGACCAAGCTTTCACTTGAAGACAACCTTTAGTTCGACACATCAAAGTTTGACCGAATGATATCTGACTGTGTGTAATTAGAATTAACACTTCATAGCACAAAAAGTGTTCGTCTCACTTATCAACACTTGTCACTTTCTTATCAACACTTGTCATTTTTGGTCACATATATTTGCTTTTATGAAAAATGGGCCTTTGTAATAAAATGACCTTCACACTTTGGAAATATAACCTTGGACATCAGGGACCCTCCTGGTACCCATGTCATGAATGAAATACTCATATCCTAACCATACCTCCAGAGCTGAAATATCATCATAGTTGACGATGGAGAGGCCAGGCATGTAGGGGCCGTAGCCGTTGTAGCAGTCGGGGTCGGTAGAGCTGGAAACAGCAGCGAGTGTCCGTCCCCAGAAGTTGCCTGCAGCGAAGATGATCCTGGCCTGGTTGTTCGGGACCCCCTTGACCAGGTACGCCCACTTCCTGGCTAGTTTACAGGCTGTCTCCCCACCTTCCACACCTGTGAAGAAAGACGGTCAGTGAGTCCACCAGGTGGTTTAATGCAATCAAAATCAGATGTATTATTAAAATACCTCTCTGTCGGAAGAGCTGACAACCACTCCCATAGAAGGCAAGAAAACACTGACTGCCCAATCTAAAGGAGGGATGCTAAAGTTCAGAAGCTAATCAGCTTTGTCCCTTTCTACAGTTTCTTGAGCATGGTATTTTGTTGTAAATCTATATATTTACTGCACACAGAGAAATATGTCTGCCATTTTCAATTCTTTCTCTGAAAATGGAGAGCTTCAAACGTGATTATGGACAATGAAACCCACAATCATGGACAAGTACATGGCAGCAAAATGGTCCTGGGCTCTGCTTCAGAAGGCAATCATAGTTCAAAGACGATATAACTACCATACTTCAACAAAAGACTAAAAGTCATGGTGCTAAGATCTGTTTGTTAACTGGGACTATATTTATACATGTAACACTAGACTAGACATTTAATTCACTGAAGCACCAAGGATTCGTACCTGTGTTCATGGGGAGGACTTTATCATACTTGAAGAGTTTGGTGATGAACTCTTCGTACTCTCCCAGGCAGTCGTTGTAGAAGGCCCTTGATGACAGAGTCAAGATGTCCGCCTGATCCTTCAGGGCCTTGACGATCTTGGGGTGACAGTGGCCCTGGTTCACAGCACTGTACGCTCTTAGGAAGTCATAGTATTTGTTGCCCTCTACATCCCACACAAACACACCTGAAATGAAGAAAAAGAGGGTAAAGACTCATTTGCCGTTTACATTGAGATTTGAATAACAATCCTTTACATCATGGCAAACCTGAACCAACTCCCTGAGTCTGTATAACTTATTTCTACCTGAGTCCACATACTCATACACATATTCATCCACAGCCACCAAATCACCCTTTATTTCCGCTTCTACCAAACTGATCCACCCAATCACCCTTCATTTCCGCTCCTACCAAACTGATCCACCCAATCACCCTTTATTTCCGCTTCTACCAAACAGATCCACCCAATCACCCTTCATTTCCACTCCTACCAAAGTGACCCACCCAATCACCCTTTATTTCCACTTCTACCAAACTGATCCACCCAATCACCCTTTATTTCCGCTTCTACCAAACTGATCCACCCAATCACCCTTCATTTCCGCTCCTACCAAAGTGACCCACCCAATCACCCTTCATTTCCGCTCCTACCAAACTCACCCACCCAATCACCCTTTATTTCCGCTCCTACCAAACTGACCCACCCAATCACCCTTCATTTCCGCTCCTATCAAACGGATACACCCAATCACCCTTCATTTCCGCTCCTACCAGACGGATCCACCCAATCACCCTTTATTTCCGCTTCCCTACCAAACGGATCCACCCAATCACCCTTCATTTCCGCTCCTACCAAACTGATCCACCCAATCACCCTTCATTTCCGCTCCTACCAAGGTGACCCACCCAATCACCCTTCATTTCCACTCCTACCAAACTGATCCACCCAATCACCCTTCATTTCCGCTCCTACCAAGGTGACCCACCCAATCACCCTTCATTTCCACTCCTACCAAACTGATCCACCCAATCACTCTTCATTTCCGCTCTTACCAAACGGATCCACCAAGTCACTCTTCATTACCGCTCCTACCAAACTGACCCACCCAAACACCCTTCATTTCCGCTTCTGCCAAACTGACCTATCCAATCACCCTTTTTTTCAGCTCTGACCAAACTGATCCACCCAATCACCCTTTATTTCAGCTCCTGTCAAATTGAAACACCCCCAAATCACCTGCTCATTTCAGCTCCAGCCTTCTTCCTTCCAGTTCCACCTAATCACCCCATCATTTCAGCTCCTCAGCTCCTGCCTTCCTCCATCCACCCAATCACCCCATCATTTCAACTCTTCAGCTCCTGCCTTCTTCCATCCACCCAATCACCCCACCACATCAGCTCCTGTCTTCTTCCATCCACCTAATCACCCCATCATTTCAGCTCCTGCCTTCTTCCATCCACCCAATCACCCCACATCAGCTCCTGCCTTCTTCCATCCATCTAATCACCCCATCATTTCAGCTCTTGCCTTCTTACATCCACTCAATCACCCAACCACATCAGCTCCTGCCTTCTTCCATCCACCCAATCACCCAATCGCTTCTGCTCAGCTCCTGCCTTCTTCCATCCACCTCATCACCCCACCACTTCAGCTCCGCCTTCTTCCATCCACCCAATCATCCCATCATTTCAGCTCCTGCCTTCTTCCATCCACCTCATCACCCCATCACTTCAGCTCCTGCCTTCTTCCATCCACCCAATCACCCCACCACATCAGCTCCAGCCTTCTTGCATCCACCCAATCATCCCATCATTTCAGCTCCTGCCTTCTTCCATCCACCTAATCACCCCATCACTTCAGCTCCTGCCTTCTTCCATCCACCTAATCACCCAACCACATCAGCTCCTGCCTTCTTCCATCCACCTAGTCACCCCATCATATCAGCTCCTGCCTTCTTCCATCCACCCAATCACCCAACCACATCAGCTCCTGCCTTCTTCCTTCCACCTAATCACCCCATCACTTCAGCTCCTGCCTTCTTCCATCCACCCAATCACCCCACCACATCAGCTCCTGCCTTCTTCCATCCACCCAATCACCCCACCACATCAGCTCCTGCCTTCTTCCATCCACCCAATCACCCCACATCAGCTCCTGCCTTCTTCCATCCACCTCATCACCCCATCACTTCAGCTCCTGCCTTCTTCCATCCACCCAATCACCCCACCATATCAGCTCCTGCCTTCTTCCATCCACCCAATCACCCCACCATATCAGCTCCTGCCTTCTTCCATCCACCCAATCATCCCATCATTTCAGCTCCTGCCTTCTTCCATCCACTTAATCACCCCATCACTTCAGCTCCTGCCTTCTTCCATCCACCTAATCACCCAACCACATCAGCTCCTGCCTTCTTCCATCCACCTAGTCACCCCATCATATCAGCTCCTGCCTCCTTCCATCCACCCAATCACCCAACCACATCAGCTCCTGCCTTCTTCCTTCCACCTAATCACCCCATCACTTCAGCTCCTGCCTTCTTCCATCCACCCAATCACCCCACCACATCAGCTCCAGCCTTCTTCCATCCACCCAATCACCCCACATCAGCTCCTGCCTTCTTCCATCCACCTCATCACCCCATCACTTCAGCTCCTGCCTTCTTCCATCCACCCAATCACCCCACCATATCAGCTCCTGCCTTCTTCCATCCACCCAATCACCCCACCATATCAGCTCCTGCCTTCTTCCATCCACCTAATCACCCCATCACTTCAGCTCCTGTCTTCTTCCATCCACCCAATCACCCCACCACATCAGCTCCTGCCTTCTTCCATCCACCTAATCACCCCATCATTTCAGCTCCTGCCTTCATCCATCCACCCAATCACCCCATCATTTCAGCTCCTGCCTTCTTCCATCCACCCAATTGCTTCAGCTCCTGTCTTCTTCCATCCACCCAGACACTCCACCACTTCAGCTCCGCCTTCTTCCATCCACCAAATCATCCCATCATTTCAGCTCCGACCAAACTGATCCACCCAATCACTCCATTACTTCAGCTCCGTCTTCTTCCATCCACCCAATCACACCTCCATTTCAGTTCCGATTCTTCATCTCAGCCCCTACCTTCTCCTCTGCTGAAGGCAACAGGAAGTGGACCGTAGTTATGGGCACCATATTTTGCCTCTCTCTCAAATATGGCTTGTGACTTTGGACCAATTTTGATCTCCTTGTCAATAGCTGGAGAAACCTGTGTGAGTGACCTTGACCCCTTGACAAGCATCTGAGACAGCTGTGAAGCTGGGCGCCCAAGTCTGCTCAACATCTCGGCAGGTGGAGTAAATCAGCAGTTACAGTATATACTCGGACTATTCTGAAAATCACAACATACAGAACATGAAACAAAAATAAACTATGCTTGAGATGTGAAAGATTAGAGGTGGAAAGATGATTTAGCATTCAAAACATTAACAGTACTTTGTTGTCTTCAGTTTGATCCTCTTGCCGAAGGACAAGTCGAAATCTGTTCAGTCTGTTGAACTCAGGTGATAATGGTCAACATAAAAACACAAAAATCTACTGTAAATAAGGCAGATAACCAGGTAGACTTGCAAGTCAAAGGTGTATTTAGAGCACCGATCCACAAATAGTTCTAGTGTTATCACTCAGTATGACTGACTGACTGACTGAGTTTAGTTTTACGCCTCTTTTAGCAATATTCCAGCAACATCACGGCGGTGAACACCAGAAATGGGCTTCACACATTGTATCCATGTGGGGATTCGAACCCGGGTCTTCGGCGTGACGAGCCAACGCTTTAACCACTGGGCTACCCCACCACCCGACTCAATATGAGATATCATAGCTATGCTATGTATATTTGGATTACAGTTGACATAGTTCTACGAATGCTTTATGGATTGGGCCCCAGAGGTTAATATTCCACTTCAAAGCTGCAACAAATTAAATATTCCCAACTAGGAATTATATTTTCCCCTTTTCCTTTTATAACTATATTGAACTACTGTATATTACTGTAGATAAGCCAATCTCATAGACAAGCAGACCCCCTAGCTTGACCCCTAAAATCAGTATCACAATGGTATGTTTCATACATAAGGTGATCCCCCAAACCTTCCGAACTTATCACAATATCAGAAATAATGTCAACAAATCCATATTGAATTATCAAACTTTACCCTCAAGTATAACACTAACTAAACCATATCATCATCATCATCATCATCATCATCATCATCAGAACTAAAGTGGCTATGCTGGTATGTCACTGATAATAAGAGCAAACATGCCTCTGAGCCCATTATTTTCATTCTTTCATAGAACAGGAACCTTAACTTATCTTGAACCACATAACATTTTGCTCAATTTGCATGGTATGACATAAGTTGGGAATCCTATCAGTCAAAGTAAACTTAGACGTTACACTGCTTATACTGAGTCTTAGAAACCCTAGTAGAAGGTCGCATCAGCTAACCTTTTCAAATGACCAATCAGAACACAGCTTACCAAATCGTGAAAGTTGACATTCGCACATACCTTTTGAACTTTTACTTGAAAAAGTTTGTACCCGAACGATTCCGATTGCTATTTTCCATATGATCGCTTCTAAGTGATCCACACAGAGCTTGCCACAGTGTGCACAGTGAGCTCATTGAGTAAACAGTCGCTGAATAGCGGTTTTGTCAATATTCAAGGATGTCAGCTTGCGGCAATATTAGCTAATGGTAACCATGTTATCAGATAGCCCTAAGCGTATATACTGCAGCTCAAATATCTGTGTTTTATGCAGATTTTCGTTTGTTGAGAGTTCAGTGTCAGCGACCAGGGAATTTTGTCAGTTCAGCCGAGCCCTAAACAGTAGCCGTTGTCTGATTGGTTAAATCCGTTCGGCCGTATCACATTTGATTGGACGGTCATAGGTTGCTCAAAGGTTAGCTGATGCGACCTTCTACTAGGGTTTGTTAGACTCATTATACCACTAGGGTATGTTATGTCCATTGTTCTGGCAGGTTGATTTTCTGTGTATCAACCTTTTATCTGCACGTGCAGAGGTTAATATGTGGATAACAACCTTGGCGGTGCAGGAAACGCACGTGCAACAAGCAATGGACGAGTCCATTCGGCGCCCACGTGTTGTAAGTAGGTTAGCACCACCCCTCTGCAGGTGATATGGATTCAATGCTCTCGCCTGACGGCTCGAGCGTTGAAATCCATATCACCCTTGAGGAGGGTGCTAACGTACACGTATAGCAGTGTAACGAAAAATACTGAGCCTAAGTTTACTTAGAATGGGAATTCTATAAAAGCTGAAAACATAATGATCAAAATTACATGATTAAAGACTGATGTTACTAGTAGCGGTTACCTTCAGCAACTGTGTCAATGACAGTTTGTAACCAATTCTAGATACATAGAGATCGATAGACAACAGTGTTTGAATATACCGTAGTTAACATTTAAAGCACTCATCAACTCAGACAAATAATAAGCCCCTACAACATGAATTGTCGAATTGAGAGCAATGTACAAATGTTGTCATATCATACTTTTCCTACGTACTGTGGTTTCAGTTAACCACTCAGGATAGATAACAGCTAAAATTGCAAATATCGGAAAGTTACTGCACACAATCATTTCTGCAAATGGTAATAAATATAATACTGTGAAGATCCAGGTTAGAATTGGTCTTCAGTAACCCATACTCGTCTTAATAATAAGAGGCAAGTAATGGGATTGGGTGGTCAGGCTCATAGACTTGGTTGACACATGTCATCGTATCCTAATTGGGTAGATCGATGCTCATGCTGTTGATCACTGGATTGTCTGGGCCAGACTCAGTTACTTACAGACCACCGCCATACAGCTGGAATATTGCTGAATGTGATGTTAAACAACAAACCAACCAACCCAACTCTTCGTCACTGTGTTTGAATCTAGGTCAAGGTCATAAAAAGGACCCCTGCTATGACCTTTCTTGTTAATGCTGAACGCTGAACTGTCGTCATGATCATATACATTTCGAAAACATGATCACAGCACCATCTTTATTGACCGTACTGTGACAGCATATATATTTCCTCCACATGTTGACTTGTTAATAGGTTTTGTATCATAATGAATAATAGCTTAGTGTGAGGTTTCGTATCGTGTTACTTGTTGAGCACTTTACGGCAGAAATGTGCACCTGCAGTGTATACAAGTACTCCATATACATATATACACAAGACTAGGCCAGGATAGAATAGAAGTAACAGGCGTGTTAGCAAACTGTCTCCAGTTATCTTGAAACAAATACTCCCCTTCACATATCACAAGGTGATTAGTTTGTTGTCTGCATGGGTAGAACAGATAAGTACTCACGAATGTTTCAGTACGCTGCAATGTACCCTTCCAGAATACAGGGTCCTGATCCATAAAGCGTTCGTAGCGCTACGACATTCGTAAGCCTGTGATAAACTATAGAGTTACGACAGGTCATAACATTACGAACGCTTTGTGGATCTTTACCCAGGACAGTACCCTAAACACTTGACCAGTTTGTGTTGTAGTTTCGTCACGATTTTTTTATTGTCAAAATGGACAATTTCATATTCCTCAAACCAGCACCACAGACTGTTTATGTCACAAATACTCCCTTTCATATACCACAAAGAGATTAGTTTCCTGTAGGGTAGCGGCAGTAAGGATATGTATCCCAGGAGTGAGTGAGTGAGTTTAGTTTTATGCCGCACTCAGCAATATTCCAGGTATATGGTGGCGGTTTGTAAATATTCGAGCCTGGACTAGACAATCCAGTGATCAATAGCATGAGCATCGATCTACACAATTGGGATACGATGACATGTGTCAACCAAGTCAGCGAGCCTGACCACCCGATCCCGTTAGTCGCCTCTTAAGACAAGCATGGGTTACTGAAGATCAGTTCTAACCTGGATCTTCCCAGGTCCCTGATCATGAGTGTGGATTCATGGAAACTGAATTCCCGAAACTGGTTCCTGTAGGGAGTTTCTGATAACGAAGGTATGCTGAATAATGATGGCCTTATAGTGTACTGTATGTATGTCACTGTGTATGCTTGGTTTTATATAGCATGCACAGCATAAAGACGGTTCCCAAACTAGAAACTGGAGAAAATCTGCCAGTTTAATGCAAAACAGGGTTATGTATTCTGATTTTGGCTGCACAGAGAAACATAACTGGGGTACATACACCAGCGATGAGCCCTTCAACCTTGATGTTTGACCTAATCAGAAACTTGAATATTACGAATGAACTTTCAATATATGATACATATTGAGTTCAAAATGAATGAGCTCTGCTCTGAAGAAATAATTAGTGGGAGCACTGACCCTTCAAACCATTGCTACATTTCACAAAGCAATGATGATTGATAAAAGTTCATGCATAGATGCTGTACATAACTGTGCAAAATGATATTTTTTCTGGATTTACGTAAATATGCACCAAATAATGCGGTAAGTGATGACATGGGTTGGTGCGCACCCTTTGTTAATCAGTGGCCAAGTGTATCTAGACTATTTAGACGTTTATGTAATTTAGATCCATTCCGTATAACAAGTAAAGTTTCTGTTTGGACTAACGTACCTGCTGTTTAAAGAAACGGTGCACGATAAATTTTAGTAACATACATGTTAATTATCACATTCCCTTTGTTGCTTCGGAAGTGACATGAAAATTATTTCATGGTTTTAACACTTCTTGGAAAAATTCTATTTAAAAAAAAACATGGTACAACTCGCAATGGAGGTAATAAGTTAAGAACTTATGCTACATTTAAAGATGAATATCATCCTGAATTATATTTATTTAGTTTAACAAAGATTGAAAGACAAACGCTTGCATTTTTTGTGGAAGTTCAAACATTTTAAAATCGACCAAACTATCATGATGTTATTTTACAAAACCTTTATTCAAAGTGTCATAAACTTTAATTTCTTGAGTTGGTTCGGGAACCTGTCTGTTCAGAATAAAAACAAACTTTAAAAAATCGTGAATACTGCGTCTAAAATTATTGGGCTTCCTATCGAAAGTATCGGCAGTTGTTATGAGCAGCCAATTTCAAAAATGGCAAACACAGTTTTAAGTGATCCTACTCACATACTCTTTTCTGAATATTCATCATTACCTTCTGGACGCAGGCTGCGTATGCTGACTTTAAGAACAAACAGGATTCGCCACTCATTTGTTCCAGCTAGTATTAGATGCATTAACAACAAATTCTGTGTATGAATGGTCTTTTAATTGTCAAAATTTTATTCAATATCTATGTTTGTGTACTAAATTGATGTATTTATATCCTGATTATTTCATATTACCAATTGCAATGTTATG